ACGTCCTCCTCGTCTATTTATTTCTGAGCTCCCTTCCCTCTCCCCAGTCCTGATGAAGGGTCCCAACCGGAAAAGTTGACCTTCCTGTTCCTCTGATGCTGCCTGGCCTGCTGTGTTCCTTCAGTTCCACGCTGTTTGGACTCTGACTTACAGCATCTGCAGTTCTTGCTATCTCCCCCCACTCAAGTTAATCTAGTTGACCAAGAAAAGCTTGCTAGCGACCCCCTACGTTCAAGCATTAAATCTGAAGAGAACAAGAGATCATAGGTGGGGGAAGGCTGGGGGAAGAATCAGCAGGAATATAGTAGTATAACATGGTATATTAATATGCACCTAGTCAACAGATCTGCAGTAAACTCAATGAGAGATGATTAACCCTTTGAGTGCTGAACATCGTTAACAGCCACCAGACCTTGTTTTTCATAGATCATAGAATCCCTACAGTGTGGAAACAGGCCCTTTGGCCCAAAAAGTTCACACCGACACTCAGAGCATCCCACCCAGACCCATCCCCTATAACCCACCTAATCTACGCATCCCTCAGCACTATGAGGCAATTTAGCATGGCCAATCCACCGAGCCTGCACATCTTTGGACTGTGGGAGGAAACCGGAGCACCCGGAGGAAACCCATGCAGACATGGGGAGAATATGCAAACTCCACACAGACAGTCACCCGAGGGTGGGATCAAACCTGGGTCCCTCGCCCTGTGAGGCAGCAGTGCTAACCAATGAGCCACTGTGCCGTCCTTCTTCATCCATTTCTTAAATTTTCTAATCTCATCTCCACAAATCAAACTAGGCAGCAAAACTGAGATATCTGGTAGCAGCCCTCATCTACTCAGAGCGAGTGAGCAGTTGAGAACAATAGAGAGGCACTTGACCTCCCAGAGTCAGGATGGTAATTCCTCATGTAAGATATTGAGGGATCATCTAAGTGATACTGAAATAATGTAACTTTGCAGAAATATGTAAGTTAAATATAAAAATCTAAAGAATTTATCTTGGGTTCAGGTTACTGGGCCACTTTTTCACATTGACTGTTTGGGGTTAAAAAGTTCTCACAGTGCATCTTTCAGTGATCTGAAAAACAGAATGAATTGGCCTTCCATTTACAAATCTAAATAGATTTTACTGTTTGTAATTTTAAAGCTCTGAAATGATATCAAGTTATAAAAGTGGCTGCAACTACAGATGGATCAAACACCCACAGAGCATAGCAATTAACTTGCAATAATCCAAGAAAATAAATTCTCCACAGTCTCCGAGTTCACTGGAACTTGGAGATCACATTTATTGACTGTTCCTGATTATATAATATCATTCAGTGAGCTTGCAGTGTATTAACCGCTACACAATGTTGTTAGTACGTGTCAAGCCACCTTGTTAGTTTTAATGCAGCAGCAGATACTAAAACTGACAGTGCATGTGTAGGAAATGCACCCCCTACTGTTACAACACAAAAAAGGCATGGCCAATTCTAAATAGAACAAGAAAGTGGAGTAGACCACTCAGCCCTTCCAGTCTGCTCCACCATTCAATAACATCATGGCTAATCTAATTTAACCTCAACTTTACATTCTGGCATATGCCCAATGATCTTTCACCAGCTTGTTAATGAAGACCATCTACTTTACAAATTTTTAAATATTCTGCACCAACCGCCTTTCGAGGAGGGGAATTCCAAAGATTCTCAATCCTCAAAAAAATGTTTCATCATCTCTTTTTTAAATAGGCTACCCATTTATTTTTTTTTTAAATATGGCCCCTAGTTCTAGATTCTCCCACAACAGGAAACATGCTTTCAGCACCCACCCTGTCAAGTACCCTCAGGATGTTATATGTTTCAATTAAGTCACTTCTGGCTCTTCTAAACTCCACAGGATGCAGACCTAGCTTGTCTAACTTTTCCTCATAAGGCTATCCATTCATTCTAGGTATTAATCTGGTAAACCTTCTCTGTACAATGCTATATATGTGCCCTGTAATATTTTCCTCTGCTGAAGCACCCCTCACCATTTCAAAATCACAGTTGTCACTGCCCATCCAAAAACCTACATTCTCATGAATTTCTATTTTATCTTCTGCCATTACTCCTCTCCAAGGACTTTGAACATGCTCTTGTCACTCAGATTCATGTCTAGTTGCTTAGCAACTCGCTGTCATAAATTTTCCAATCCCCAGAGAACCAAAGGCTTAATAGAAGTTATGAATTACATTATTTTTGTGACTATGATTGTTACATATTGCTCCTTCTCATCCTTGACCATCCTGCAGTCCAATTTAACTAGCAACACAATGCTCCTCCAATGCCTCACCTCTGTTTTACCTAGTTTGATAGAATTGCCTTTATTTGGATTTACACTTGCATTTTTAACAAATATAGGAACATGATTGCCCATTCAGTGCCTCAAACTTTATCTGCCATTCAAATAGAACTGTGCTGATCAATATTTTATTTCCATCTACCCAACTTGGTTCCATATCTCAATATGCTCTCCTGACAAAATAGGAGGTCTTATGGTCCATTCTTGCCTGGAAGCCAAAATCTCCAGGGTGGGGTTATGTCCCAACACATGACTTTATGGCTAAGGCCCTTTATAATAAGGCCAGATAGGTTGATTACCAACTTGCAAATCATTCCAACACACACTAATGGATGGTGGTAAAATTGGGAGAGATTCCTAGTCAGCCACGTGATGGAAAAAGACTTTGAGCTTCTACAATCGCTATCCTTCCTCCAGACCACATATTTGCTAAATTACATGTCTCCATAGCAACTCAGACATCAACAAAAAGACAGAAGATGAAAGCATCTCCAGTAATGGCTATTCTCTCCACTCCAACATTGTGCTGTCAGTACCATCCAATGAGCTTCCTTTGGTCCCTGCCTGTTCAATAAGCAGCCTTTTGGTAATATCGTCCATAAATATGGGATCAGTTGGCACACATAGCCTGCTCTACCTCCCTAAACTACTTGTATGTTTTCTACATTAGAAGGTGGCAAATACAAAATAGACTGGTTAACTTGACCATGAAAATAGAGGCAACAAACATGTTTATGTACTGATGTTGCAGTGTGACGCCACCGCAGGTGCATTGCATTGAGCTGCTAAGGACAGGAATTCCTGTTTCAGCATGAATCAATAAGAAATTTGCATTTTAGTGAATTCTCAACAAATCAACTTTAAAACACGTGATTACTGACAAAGCAATTTTGCCAATAGTTCAAAGAATGTTTTCCTGTTTCTCATTCATTCCCTTCCTCATCTGTCTTCATCTGCACATCAGAAAGACATGGGATTTTATTACATGCACGGTGATGTGGAAGTACAGATGTGGGGTGCGGGGGTATAACGGAAAAAAATTACAAAATATTTCACACCAGATAGTGAAACGAAAATCTTTTGGATCCATTTGGTAATCAAATAACAATGGTTCACACGAGATTTATGTTACAGCCCAATGTGACAATCCAACATACTTGTTGCCAAACCTCCGCGCATCTGATGCGCGTCTGTTGCATTAAGTTACGGGCCTGACAGATGCAGTAATTCTTTTCCTCTAACAAAGTAGCAGAACATTAACTTGAGCTACTGAGGTCCAGTCCATTGCTAGTTCTTTTTATCTTAAATCAGGTAGGTAAACTAGCTCAAGTCAACACAGTGTGGAGCTGGAGGAACACAGCAGGTCAGGCGGCTTCAGAGGAACAGGAAAGTCGACGTTTCGGGTCGGGACCCTTCTTCAGAACGTTTTTGGTCTCTTTATGGTTACCCAGGTACACATTACAGCTAATCAGCGCACAGCAAGATTTCACAATAACCGTGTTACTAAATAGATCATCTGTTTTAAAGTGTTGATTGGGGAATAAATATTAGTCAAGAAAATTGGGATTTTATTTCCCGAGATATTGCCAGAAGATCTACTACATTCGCCTGGAACGTTTTCAGTTTAGATAATCCTCTTTTCAGGTTTCCAGCCAGGTGCTCTCTGGAATCCCCAAAATGCTGCTAGGAGTAGTGTTTGCTGCCTCGGGATCTCACGAAAAAAGGTTCGTTCCGAGGACACTAGATTTTACTACACAGTGATACTACCAACCAAATTCGATGTTAAATCAGCTGGTTAAATAAGTATAATTTCACTAAGTATTTTTTTTAAAAAACACTAACAAAACGTTGAGCGATCATTATCACTGAATACGTGTTCCTTTCGTCTCGTCCCGCTTATTTGCACTTCCCGTTTACAGTCCGGCTTCCAGCCTCCTGCAGAGGGTGAGTTTGGCTGTGATGATCCTCCACAGTTATACCTGCCCACACTCACGATTGACACTGAAGAACAGCCATTTGGGCAAAGCACAGGGAAACATTTTGAAGATCCGAGAGAGGAATAGCACATTCTGAGAGGAGTAGACAACTGGAATCAAAGTAATTTCATTCAAAAACAAAAATCAGTTAAAGAATTAGAAAAGAAACTTTCATAGAAAACGTCACAAAATATCGGGAAAATGTAACAACACAGTACTAACTGAGGAACTTCTTCAGAAGGTTACTAATTTGCTTCAAAACTTTCTCAAAGGCGATACTTGAATTATTTGCACGGCAATGGGAGAAAGGAGTGGGACTAATTGGATAGCATTTTCGAACCGCCGGCACATGCATGATGGATCGAATGGCCATCTTCTGTGCTCTATTATCCTATGAAACTATAAAATAATTGTCCGAAAAGCTAATGGGTTATTGGTGAAATTTATCGCCTCCGCCCCGGTCCTACCCCGTGTTCCAATGTATTGAGCATAGACTGAAAAGTACTTTTCTGACCAAATGGACAAAGAATTAACCAGCACTACTGTTTTAATTAGAAACACCCAGTCTCCGACTCACACATTTAAAAAGAGCATATCAATATTCGAATTAGACCAGTAGATATAAATGTGGACATTTCTGAAAACATTTAAGTCACCAAGAGTTTTGAAGCACTGTCAGATTTAAAATCGGTACTTACATGTGACTCTGGAGTGTTCCCGAACTAATAGCTGAGGTCACAGCGAGGAACAACATGCAGACACTTGCTGACATTTGGTCCATTGTTTTTGGCATGCAGTTTATGGCACTTGTATTTCTGTTTAAAACAGGCTGTTAAAATGTCGGTTCTTTCTGCTCGGGAACATACAGATTGCAAATTGTTCCCAAAAGGCGAAAACAAATGTTCAATTGCTACTAAGTGTAAACTTCAGGCCAGATCAGACAGGCATATTTTCAGTGGAATTCAAATTTTTCTAAACTTTTCTGAAGTTTTTTTTTGTTTTCCTTTCATTAAAAAACCTCTCCCAATTGAAAAAAAAAGGCTAAATTGACAATTTTAAGAGGGTCAGCATTCTCGGGTTATTAGTAACAGGAACATTAAATCCGAAATGCCTTATTACGATCAACCATTAAAGATGCAACTTCGATCGTCACTGTGATTTTGCAACAGCTCAAATGAAAAGATGTTAAGGACAGAGCAATATTCTCACACACAAGCCTGATTCTGCTAGGCTGCAGTAGCTAAAATCCATCCAGCACTGTAGACCATCCGACTCACATCCACGCTGGAGGAGGGGTTTTCAATCAGACACACCCCCTTCATCCACATGGCAAATTCCACCCCCATCGTTCACCCTTCCCCCAATCCCAAACCTGACTTCAAATCATTGAAACCTGAGGAAGGAAGGGCGATTCAGCCTAATACAGGTGCCTTTAAATCGGTTTATGTAATTACACCGGATTACAACAGAGCGTAGGTTCCAGGGAAACCTACATGGATAGGAGGCTGAAAGTTAAAATAAATCGCAAAAAAAATTAAGGGGGCTAATATAATTATGGTAGGTGCATCTCTCAACCCGTATTTTGTTTAGGTTTATCCCATTATCACTACAAATTGTTACCTTACAGCATTTTCATTTTCATCATTTCCTTTTCTCCACAGATCCTCTTTTTCTTCCCTGTACCGGAACGATCCGCCCCTCCCCCAACCTTTCCCCGGCTTTGTACTTGCTTAAAAATGTCTCATCTCTAACACCTTCCAGTTCTGATAAAAAGTCATTTACGCGAAAAGATTTATCCACTTCTCTTTTCAAACATGCTGCCTGACCTACATTTTCACAGAAACACAATGTTTACAGGACAAAAGGAGCCACTTTGGCCTATCAAATCTGCACCTACTTTCCGCAAGTGCTGGTCCCATTCCTGAACTTTCTGAAGAAGGGTCTAAGCCCGAAGCGTCAGCCTTCCTGCTCCTCTGGTGTTGCTTGGCCTGCTGTGTTCATCCGGCTCTACACCTTGTGGTCTTCCATTCCCCTGCCTTTTGTATTTCAAGTGCTTATTCCAGTTCCCCATTGAAAGTCACAGAGTCAGCCTCCAGCACTGTCTCAGGTTGTTCCAGGTCCTAATCATTTAATGTGTTTAAAGCTTTTCCTCAATCACAGTGTGTTCTTTTGCCAGTCACCTTATGTCAGCATACTCTGGTTCTTGATCCTTCTGCCAACTGACATGATATCTCCTATGCGCTTTGTCCCCACCAATCATGATTTTAAATACCCTCTCAAGTCCTCTTCACGACTTTACCTTTAAGGAAAACAGCCGTAGATTTTCCAACTGTTCTAACTAAAGACTTTGATTTTGTACTTTTTCTGATATCCATTATCAGCAACATTTTGCAGTTGATTCTTCTTGTTGGTCTTTTTGATTTGTAAGCCAAAAAGAAAGAAAAGTAACAAAGCAACAACCAATAGAGGACTGGCTATCTGTTGGAGTGGGTATGTATACTCATAAATCTATCATCGATCTGCAATAGAATCTGATTTTTCCACTTGTGTTGAAGGAGGAGTGGGAACCTCATAGCCATTGCCAATGGGAAGTGTCAATAAGGGATAATGGGTGGAAGTAGCATGAACAAAGGTCCAACATATGGAAGGTGGGTTTTCGTCCAACCTCCAACAGAAATCCAGTTTCGAACTCACATTTTCTACTCCAGATAAAACGAGTACATAGGTGCATTATGACTGCTACAAACATTGATGAGCTGAAGGGCCTCTTTCTGTGCCGTAAAACTCCATGATTAATACAAGTTGACAGCTCTATTCTCCTGCAGACACTGGCTCATTCTAAGGCCTGGTTTCACAAGGTAACAGCTGTACAAAAATGTAGATATTCAACACAGGGGACTAATCATTGCAAATTCAATCCTGTCCTCACCTAATGTTTACATATACATCATCCTTGCACAGAGCACAAACAAACATTTTTGGACATAGTAGAAGAAGATAGACTAGCACTTATGCTGTGTTTTGTTTTCACTATCTCAGAATGTGTCAGCGTTTTACAACCAATGGATCATTTTTTACTTTGAAGAGTCATCACTATTGCAGTGTAGAATTAGGCTTGGCTATGATGCCCTCCAGAGGTGAACACCTGTGAACATTCACCATCTAGATTTACAATTAGAGTAAGATAAGAAAGGACTCCATGCCCTTCAGAGGTGTAATTCAGTCAGAATCAATAAATATGCTACTTATAGCACCTTGAACATAAATAAAACTCCCAAGGTGCTTTACGAGTGCTGCATAAGGAGGTATTAGGTCGAATATCTTAAAATTTGGTCAAAAATTTGGGGGTTTAGGAGTACCTTAAAGGGAAAAACAAAGTAGAGGGACTGCAATGGGCAAGTCAAGAAATACAGTGGTGAGGTGCACTGTGCTTCCCGATAATGTCGCTGAAGGGCAATGTGTAGATTCTGAACAGAAGGAGTGAAAGATTGATAACAGTGGGAGACCAGGAAGAGGAGCCTTCACTGTTGATACTCTGGCTGTGATTAGATAAAAAATGCAACCAAGTAAGGGTGTCACCATCCCACTGGATGGGGACAGAGAGGCATTGGAGGAAGATAGTGTGATCAGCTGTAATAAAGTTTGCAGAGAGTTCAAGATGCAATGGGGTGGGATAGTTTATCTTTCATTGGCTATAATTAGCATATCTTGAGGTCCTGAAAGATGCAACATAATGAAAATCCCCTTTCTGCAGGCAACAGGAGTACTTGGAACCTGTCACCCCCAGCAGAGTATCTATAGTTGGACCATTGCTCATCCATTCATTATAAATAGGCTTATCCTCTATATGCCCACATGGACTTGATGATCTCTTGGGAAAGAGCTGAGTGAGTGTCAGTGGCTTTTTGACAAAGGGAAGCATCAGAGTCCGGCCCAACCACGTTCCCACCCAACCAAAGGAGAGGATGGATCCTGTTGCGTGCTTCCCTGAACAGACTGTCAAAGTCATTTGGCAGAATGCCTCATCACCAGAACTTTCCAACATGCACCAAGACATTGTGTGGCTGGTGGTGAGAAGGGCACTACCTGTGAGATCCTTTATGTACGCGTGGTCAGCCTGTGCTATCGCATGCTGCCCTCGAAGAGGCTATGGTAGGGGAGTTGGGGGGTGGGGTTAGAGACTGTCACATATCTCCTCTGGAATGTGCTTTTGCAAAAGAAGTCTGGAGAAAGATGCAGTGGTTTTTTGTCGAGGTTTGTCCCGAACAGCTCCGTGACGCGGGACTGTGTGCTCTATGGCCTGTTCTCCTGGACGCATACTGAGACAAACATCAACTGCTCCTGGAGGGCCATCAACTCAGTGAAAGACGCTCTTTGGTCTGCCTAAATCTTATTGGTCTTCCAGAACAAGGAGTTGACCTTGACCGAGTGTTACAGACTGGCACATTCCAAGGTCCAGGACTATGTGCTGAGGGACGCACTAAAGCTTGGGGCAGCTGCTGCCAAGGCACAGTGGGGAAAGTCTGAGGTCTTTCTGCTGAAGTTAGAGGGGGGTTTATTCAGTTATTGGACCCTCCTAGCACCTCAAATGTATGTAAATATAGTCTTGCACGTGTAAGAGAGGTCTTTGGTTTTTTTGGGGATAGTCAAAGATCAACATTTTGTTAGCTTGCGTGATATACAACTGTACAGAACCAAATTGCATTATGATAATGTATGTACACAAAGAGATTTCTTTATGAATAAAGTATATTTTTGAAGTTAAATAAAAAACCATCCATATGAGTATACCTACCACTGGTATGATACAATTTCAGGAGTAGCATCCATATTGGAGTTTGACTCTTCTGAGCTTAGGACTCTGAATTCAACAATGGTGGCCTTTATATATTGAATACTGACAGCACTGCCAATGCCATTAATGATCAGATGAGCTGAATATTTAAAAGGAACAGTTATTCATTAACTTGTTTTGTTAGTATTAGTCCTGAACATAGGATAATTTATTTAAGCTTTCTCAAAAACACATGTACCCAAGCTACCAAGACCATTCCAGCTCCTAGATACTTTACTAAACAACCTATTCAGAGATTTTATTACACACCACTAGAGCAGGTGAGCCTTGAACCTGTGCTTTTTGGGCCTAGAGGTAAGGATACTACCATTGTACCACAGACTCACTCTATTCCATCCCTTATCTGAGCCAGATTAACTAAGCTCAGCTGGGGACAGCAGTCTGGAACTGTAACTGGTCCAAAAATTTGGGGTCTAATTGGGGCAGGATAGAGATGGAGAAATCAGCCAGTATTCCTGCTGTTTCTTGCTAGAAATTGTACTCAGTGAACAAGAGATAGGTTCAATGGTGAAGAAACTGCCAATCGTCTGTAACAAGTTATATAGCCAAATGGCTGACTTGCATCATTTCACCAGCAACCAAACAAGAATCAGTATCTTAATGAGAAAGGAGAAAAAATTCTGGACAGTGGCATGAGAAATTTTTTCTTTTCAACATTTAAAACAAAGATCATTTGCACCAAATTGTTTGAATGCAGACAATATTGAGGCAAGTTTGTTTAAGGTTGATCTTTCAAGTCCAAGAATCCTTTATGAGAGACAAAAAAAAATTGCAGATGCTGGAATCCAAGGCAGGCAAACATGCAGCTGGAAGAACACAGTAAGCCAGGCAGCATCTGGAGGAAAGGAGTAGTCAGTGTTTCGGGTATAACCCTTCTTCAGTCCTTGCTGTGTTCTTTCAGCCTCCTGTTTGTCTCCCTAAGATTC